GGCGGGAGGTCCTCCCCGCGGATGCTGGCTCCCTCCCCGCTGAGCTGGGCCCCGGCTGTGCAGACCCAAGCGTGGCCGATGTCGGTGCGGGCCTCCCCCCCTCCCCCTCCCCTCCCCCGGGTATTTAGGGTTTTCGCTGTGGGCAGCAGGCAGGGGAGGAGAAGGCTGGGGCTTGGCTGTCTCCCCCAGACCCTCCGGAACCTGCTCCCCTTGTCCCGTGTGAATGCCGGAGCACTGGTGCCAGGAGAGACCACCCTTGCACACACACGGCGGTCTCGTCCAGGGGTCTCTCCGCCGGAGCAGGTGGCCAGAGCCCCAGCCCGCGTTGGTTTGCTTCTGTCCTTGGCTTGTGAGGTTATTAAGGCAGCCCTTCCCTCGACCCCTGCTGCAGCAGGGGCTGCGTGGACACCTGGACGTGGGGCGGGTCTGGGGGGCCGGGGGCCGGGTGCTGCACACACCGAGCTGTGCAGTCTGGGCACCCACATGGCGGCCTCTTGCGGCAGAGCGTCCCTCACCAGTCTGCACATTCCGAGAGCTGGGACAGCAAGGCCTTCCTGTGGCTCCGTCCTTGAGACGGCTGCGTGGGGCCCAGCTCCGGGGGCTCAGCGGGGCCGTTGCTTCGTACGGTCTCCCTGGATCTCCGTTGGGAAGGAGGAGGTCGTCTGTGCGGAGGGCCGCACGGTGCCTGGATTCCGGCGTCCCTCGCACCCGTCTGGCCTTCTTGGCCTTGTGCTGGGCACAGCCGTTACGGGCTCGGGCCAGTGTCCTGAGCCAGCAGATGCCTGCTCCACCCGAGCGGGATCCACACCGCAGCTCAACTTCTAGCTCTTACGGGCTCCTTTCTTCCCTTTTTCCCTGTCCTGGGGAGACCTGCTCACTAGCAGACGGGTGATCTCAGCTGCTCGGGGAGGTGGGAGGGGATGCTGTGTCCAGGCTGGGTAGACCAGGCCACTGGCCGTCTCTTCTCCGTGGCCAGTCATGTCTGCGCCGTCTCAGGGACCTGTCTCGGCTGTGGGTTCTGGTCGGGGCTGATGGGGGTGGCTGACCCAGGGGAGCCACAGTGGGGTCTGGCGATGTCTGAATGGTGAGCAGGTGATGGTGGCTTCCCGGTGACAGCAGAGGCCCCCGTCGGGCCCCGGGAGCAGCGCAGGGCTTTGCTCAGAGGCTGTTCTAGAAAGTTCTGTGGCTCCTTGCATGTGCTGGGTGTGAGCAGGTTCACAGTTCACAAGAGCCATGCTCTTCCACAGTGGAAACTGTCCAGTGGGAGGAAGCCAGGGGCCAACTGGTCCCTGGGCCTGACCTGCCCCCGGACCACAGTGACCCACTCCTGTCTCGTGGCTGCTGCCCAGAGGGTATCAGACCCAACTGCACAGGGAGGCCCGAGGACCCCTGGCTGGCCACGGTGGCCCCTCCCTGTGGCACGTCCCTTCCACCCCCTGGAAGTGTGGGCGTTCAGTTCCCGGATGCATCCTGTATGTGGGGGCGGGAGCCTGTGCTGGCCCTGGTGCCGGGGAGAGGGGCCGAGCCTCACAGGACACCCCGGCCCCCTCCGCCCTTCCATGCTTCCTGCTCCTGCTCCAAACCTTTCTCCAGGTGGCTCCTGGGGTTTGGCAGAGGGGGTTTTGGCAGCTGTGGACCTCACCCCCCCAGACCCTGGGGCAGTTACGGGGTATGGAGGGGCAGGCAGGGAAACCAGAGAAGGTTGCCAGGGAAAAGCCACACCCACGGGGCACTTGGGGGTCCTCGTGCCGCAGAGTGTCACCGTGGAGTTGGAGACCTGGCAGGACAGTGTGGAGAAGGCCCAGCACCTTTCCGTAGCACCCAAAGTGATTTAAGAGTCCACTGCCCCTCCCCGCGGCCATGCCGAGCACTGAGGGGCCCTAGGGGCGCCCGTGTGTGCACGTGTCGGCGTGGGCTGTGAGCGGACGTTGGGGTGTGAGTGTCCTTTGCACAGTGACTTCTCTTGCTGTCTTTCTGTGTGTCCGCCCCTGTCGGTCCTCGTGGGAGCAGTCAGAAGGTCAGTTTGAAAGACCGTGTCTTCTCCAGTCCCCGAGGCGTGGCCGCCAAGGGGAAGGGGTCCCCGCAGGCCCAGACCGTCCGCCGGTCACCCAGTGCTGACCAGAGTCTGGAGGACAGTCCCAGCAAGGTGCCGAAGAGCTGGAGCTTCGGGGACCGCAGCCGGGCACGCCAGGCCTTCCGGATCAAGGGCGCCGCGTCCCGACAGAACTCAGAAGGTGGGTCAGGCCGCCGTCTGCCTGCGCTCTCGCTGTGCCCCGAGCACCACCCAGGGCCCCGGAGCCCCTTTGAGCAGCGACTCTCCTCGACCCTTTTTTCTGAGGTGCAACTCCCGTCACGTAAGGTCAGCCACATCACAGTGAGCGCTTTGGTGGCAGTACACTCAGCTTTCATTCCAGCACATTCTTTGGCTCGGAGCAGACCTGCACCTGTTAGGGCCCCTCCCAGCCCCGGCCACTGCCAGGCTGCTGCTGCCCGTGTGCCTTGGCCTCCTCTGCACTTTTCACACAAGCGAGTCACGTGCTGTGTGCTCGCACACCCGTGCAGGGCCACAAATCGGCTTCATGCCTGTTCGTGGCTGGACGGTCTTCCATGGTTTCTGTCCACTTTGAAGCCGTCCTGTGAGCCACTCGGCTGAGGGGAGCAGGTGGGCTGGAAGGTGGCTTCCCGGGGAATCAGGGCACTGCTCGGGGGAGGGGGGGCGGCCCCTCTGTCCTCGGTGCAGCTCCGCCCCTCACGGCCGCATCTCGCCCCCGCCCAGAAGCGAGCCTCCCCGGGGAGGACGCCGCGGAGGACAACAAGAGCTGTAACTGCGAGTTTGTGACCGAAGATCTGACCCCAGGCCTCAAAGTCAGCATCCGGGCCGTGTGGTGAGGGACTCAGCTTCCGCTCTCCCTGGGATGCGGGCCCTCTGGGGGCTGGCGTGGGGGCGTGTGCTCTGGTGAGACACCTGTGCCTTGTGGCTCCCGTGGCCCCTCATGCCACGGCTGTCACCTACCCGTCCTGGGTGCAGAGCACGGAGGCTACCGGGAGGCGGCTCCCGGGGGGGAAGGGGGGAGGGGGGGGGACGGGTCATCTGCACCCCGGGGCCCGGGAGTGGCCCGTGTACACAGAGGGTGGGAGACCGGCCCAGATGATCGTGGCGTCGGCCGGTGCCTGTTCTTGGAGGTGCTGGGGGTGCGTGGGGCTCACGGCTGCCCCCACCCCAGCGTGATGCGCTTCCTGGTGTCCAAGCGGAAGTTCAAAGAGAGCTTGCGGCCATACGACGTGATGGACGTGATCGAGCAGTACTCGGCCGGCCACCTGGACATGCTGTCCCGCATCAAGAACCTGCAGTCCAGGCAAGAGCCCCCCGCCCACCAGCCCTGGGGCGTGGAGGCCGGGTCCTTCTGGGCCACAGCCGGGGTGGCTCCGGCAGGGTGGCATCCCTCAGGGGCCAGCACGGGGGGGTGGGGGGCGACGTGGGGGTCCTCGTGCCGCCCCCAGAGGGGGGGTGGCGGACAGGGCTGTGGGGACGCGGTGGTCGGCCCTGCCTGCCGCCGCCTCCGGGCCCTTCCTCTCGGGCCCCACGCCGGCCCTCCGTGGGCCTTCTGCACACCCTCGTGTGGTCTGTCTGTTGTAACCTTTCCGTTGTCTCTCCCTTCTCGCCCTCCTGCCCCCGCTCTGGTGGGCGAGCGTGTACGTGTGTGTGCGTTCACATGCACGTGTGCGCGTGTGTGTATCGTGTGAACGCACGCATGCGCGTGCACGGGTGCGGGCACCTGCGGCCACGGTACCGGTGCACGTGTGTGCACACGTTATGCATGCGTGTGGCGTGTGCATGTGCCTCTGTGTGTGCTGTGGGTCCACGCATGTACGTGTGCACCTGTGCACACCGGTGTGCGTGTGTGTCGGGGGTGAGGGTAGTTGAGAGAGGGGCCGTGGGGCTTCGTGAGCCCCGCCGGGAGCTGCTGCTTATCCCAGGACAGGGGCTTGTCCACCCCCGTCCCTCATGGGCGGCCCCCTGCATTCCAGGACACGTGTGAGGGGTTGGCATCAGCAGGGCACGTACACGCGTGTCCACGGACCCGGGCGCACACCTGAGCACAGGCGCGGACACGTGCACACACGTGTGTGTGGTGTAAGGAGCCCACGTGGCTGTTGCCGTGGTCTCCGGAAGTGAGTCACACGCTTCCGCCAGCAAGAGCCCCGCCCCTGCCCGTGGTCCCTCAGACTCCACTGGTCTGCCCCGGCCACCTGGGTCCTGGCTGCAGCAGGGTCCGGACGGTCAGGGGACAGTCGTAGGGCTCAGCCAGCTCCCCAGGCCCTGGCGGTAGTGAAGTCCTCGTCCTGGGGTGGTTGGTGTGCCCCTCCCGCACCTGGACGCCAGGGAAGGGTCTCTCTGGGCCTTAAGCTGCTCCCGTCGGGCGGGTAGCGGGGGGTGACCCTGTCCTCAACACGGCTGAGGCTGCGCGGTCAGCTGCTCACCGTCCCCCACCGCCCCCGGGCGGCAGCTAGACCTGCGCCGTGCACGTGGGCATATGTGAGGTGCGAGTGTGTGCGTGTGCAGTTATGCACATGCAAGCAAACGTGTGCCTGTGCAGCGTGCGTGCAAGCTGAGGCGTGCAGAGTGTGGACGTGCACGTGCACAGGGGTGTGTGAGACAGAGTACTGCAGCGGCTCGGCCGCTGGGCCTGTTCCCATGTCTCTCTCACCGAGGTTGATTTTGTTAACCAGGCTCCTCTGTCCTACCCGCCCCCCTCCCCCTTCTGACCGGAAGAACAAAGCACATGGGCCGCCCCAAGGAGCTGGGACACCTGCCCCTCACTGGCAGGGCCCCACCGTGGTTCGCCGGCACCCTCGGCGCCGTGCCCCGGCTGCGGTGGCTCCGGCGCACACACCTGCTGGCCCGGGCAGGCCTGGGGCCAGCCGCGTGGTTGCGGGCCCCCCTAGTTCTGGGCTCGCTCGGGCGCCTCCCAGGTTAGGTGAGCGCCTTCCGCGCTGTTTCACGATGCATTTGGTGGTGTCTCTTTTCTTGTTCACTCGCCAGGATAGATATGATTGTGGGCCCCCCACCCCCTTCAACTCCCCGGCACAAGAAGTACCCCAGCAAAGGACCCGCGGCCCCTCCGAGAGAGTCACCCCAGTACTCACCTAGGTCAGGACGCCAGCCCTTCCCGCCTTGTGTCTGTGGAACGGCCAGCCCCCTTCGCTCCAGGCCACATGACGGCAGCACCTGGCCTGTATCCCGACGGGACATTGGGGAGGCGGGGGGGCTGCTCCTGGCGGGGGGGGGGTGCTGTGTCAGGGTCCCGGGGAAGCTTTCCGTGGGGGGGCTCCTTTCCACGGACATCCCAAGTGACGTCTAGCCTGGGCGGGGGCCCCCCAGCTGGCGGTGTCCTTCCCACCCCGGCCCCCCTGCCCCTTCCCCCTGCGCCCTCCCTGCAGCAGGGCTCACCTGGGCTGCCTCGCGGATCTGAGGAGCACCTGTTGCTTCTCCCGCCTTGGAGCCACCCGGGTAGAGAAGTAAGGAAGCCCCCCCCAGGCACCCAGCACTCGGCTGGGTGCCAAGGGGACGCGTGACAGTTCACTGCGTCATCTCCGGTGGGCAGAACAGTATGGAAGCCGGTCCTGGCTGACGGGCGGAGTGGAAGGTGAGGGCACGGTTAGGTGGGGAGTTCACAGAAGCAGCTGTTCTAGTGACGAGTTCAAACTTCGGTACCTTTCTGCCTCCTTGGGACAGATGGTGGCCGTAACCTGTGGCCCTTGGGCAGGGCTGCTCAGCTGAGGGACAGCGGAGCCCCCAGGGCAGAGAGGATGGCCAGGGCAGATATGCCCTGGCCTGCTGGCAGCTCAGGTGCAAAGGGGCCCAGGAGCATCCCGGAGGCCAGCAGGGACACTGCCACGTGGATCCATGCTGGCCCCTGGAGGGACTGGTGTGTTTGACCCGTCCTCCCCGCGTGCCAGGGTTTCTGCACGTGAGGCTGAGGGTCAGCATGCTGGACCTCCCAGCCTGGTGGCTCTTCTGTCAGAAAGGGGTCCCTGACGAAGGAGGCCTGACCCAGGGCAGCCTCTGACAGTGTTTGCTGGTCCGCTGCTCTGCCCGTCCTCTCCCGCCTTGAGACGCCAGCCCGTCCTGGGCATTGTGCAGGGGGCAGGGGTGGGCATCCAGAGCCGTGAGCTGGGAAGGTTCCGTAGCCCTCGGAACTGCCCGGGGCCTCCGGACCGGCTGCAGCCAGAGGACACGCAGATTCTCACAGAGAAGGGGCCGGAGACACAGCGTGGGCACGTGGGGGTTTAGCCTGACCCCTCAGCCCGAGGCCAGGGGGAGGGAGGGCATAGGCCCCTTAGAGGCCCCTCCCCCAAACCCCGGCAGCGTCAGCTCCAGGCTCCCAGGGGGGACCGGCCAGGCAGGTGGCCCGTCATGTGGCAGGGGTGAAGGCGCTGAGCACCTGTGCCTGGACTGTGTGGACACTTGGAAACACCAGGGAACCCTCCTCCCTCTCCACTGGCGTCTGCTTGGAGCCCGAGGGTCCCCCCGCTGCCCCCCGCCCCTCCTGGTCCTTCGTGCATGAGTCAAGCATGAAGTTCAGACAGAGCATGAGGCTGTACTGTGGCTGACGCAAGCCTGAACCCCTCTTCTGCTTCGTGCAACAGAAAGAGAACAATCCCCCTGAGCCCTGCTCCCCATTCAGAGGCAGACAGAGCAGCCTGTGGGTGAGGAAGGAGGCCGAGACGTGGCCCCGGCCAGCTCACGTGGCCTCCTGCACTCCGAGACCTGAGGAGTGTGCCTCGTGCTGGAGGCTCCCGACCGCCCGGCGGGGATGCCGTTTGCCGGGCCGGTCGGAGGGCTGACCCAGCAGCTTGCACACAGCCCGGGCCTTTGTTCCCGCGTGAGCCCCCGCGTACCTGTGGGTCTTGGCTCAGTGTCAGGAGCCCACACCGCAGCGGTGGCCCCTTCCGAGCCTGTCGGTGGCCCATCCCGTTCGGCCGGGGATCGTACCGATGTCCTCCTCCCAGATGGAAACCTTCCACCTCCGGCTGCCGTTCGGGACCCGTGGCCTCCTTCGAGTTGAGCTCAGCCGCGCTGTCCGTCCCACACGCGCGAGCACACGCGCACACACACACGTGCACACGCCCAGCGAGCACACAGACTGGTTGGCAGTGGCTCTGTCTGCCCCCACCCCGTGTTGTGCGTTGGCGGTTTCCTGTGTTGGTCTGTGTCCCTCCCTGTCCGGTGTGCATGGAGCCGCGGCCCTCATCATCTGCTTCTGTTCCTGCCGCAGACGTGGAGCTCCGCCCTCCCCAGGCCCCCCCCCCC